GAATCCTTGGAATATTCACAACATAGGGTTGGAACCCCAGCATATGTCTAGTCCCCCGATTATGGAATATTGATAGCAGCGCGACAGAATAATAGACCCTTTTTACTTCAATGTCAGATTTTCATTTCGTCAGATTTTTTCTAAGACAGATTTCTATACGGTCATTATTGTTAGTTAGTATATTGTTATTTCGTTAAAGTACAGTTACAAATGAAAACAGTGTACACCAAATTAAAAATTTTATTACCTTTCAAAAAAGTATTTGATTGATAATCTTTTAATACACTCTAAAGGCAGTATGTTACCCGTAATTAATTATTTTAAAACATTTTCTCCTTGCATGTTTTTCTTCAAGTCTTTTGAACGCCTTTCCTTTGAAGTACAACTTCAGGTGTGCTTGTTTAATTTTGAAATCGGCAAATGTTGCTTCTTTTCGTAAAAGATGCACGAAATTAAATTAATGTTAAAGACTTGTCGGTATCGCCCACTACATAGATCAGACAAGTTTGGTCCTAACTAGTTTTTATTTGGAATTTTACCATTGTATTGTTCTATAATCTATAAATCTGCTTAGGTATTTTTATGTTGTGAAATTACGTTTTAGAAATTTTTATATTTATAAGTATAAGAATATATAGTAGTTTACGATATTCATATATATGTATTGGTTTTATTATTTATTTATAAATATATGTATATTTGCATTTGTTTATCAATTTTTATCTGTTGATTAGTAATTCTTCATACACCGCCGTCTTTTTCCTGTTAATTATATAATTACTTCCATCCAAAGGTTGTCTGGCAGAAATCGCTTAAAGCGATAAGACCGCCCATTGTACCACCGCTTATTTTTAATTTAATTGTATTGTATTTGTTTCCTTTTTTGGTGTACAATAAAGAATTTTTGTATTGTATTGTATTTGTATAATTATTGAAGTGACAAATATATTTTATGAATTTAATAAAAAATACATGTAGCCATTACAACCTGATCCTACCTCAATCTAAATTAGAAACATACAGAAACAGTCCGTTGTACATGGTTGTACATGTCTATTTTAATCTATAATTAAAATCAAAAGAAAATACCGTTGTTCCCGTGTGGTACGAACAATTAAAAATGACCAAGAAGTTTATATAAGCTTCTTGAAATTGACGTAATTGGTCTCTTTCCATCTTTTGCGTATGCAATGTGTAGAAAAAAGACAGTTAGCTATTTAATTATTTTGTGCGCTTTTGTAATTTACATTAACGATTCATTTATATATAAATTAAATACTACACAACTGTGCAAAATAACACTTTTAAATGATAACACAATATATTGGTTTAGTGAAAATATTATGATACAAAATCCTGGTTTTACACTTTACTGCAGTAATTTTTACAAGTTATTAATATATGGTACTGCATGTTTGACAACCTCGCTGTCAGTCGAACAAACGAAGACTGTTGCGCAATTGACGCTCTGTATGCGATTTTAACGCCCTACAGGTGCAGACACTTTTTAGCTCGAACCCGACGTCCATTTATTGGTAGGTCAATGTATAAGACCTTGTAAATGTGCATGTGCAATATGGAAATAAATAAATAGATGAACAATTGCCTCCGTGGCCGAACGGTTACCATGCCGGACTACCATGCAGAGGTCCCAGGTTCTATTCCCGGGTCGGGAGAAATATTTGTATTGCCTACATTTATTTCTCTCGTGAGTTTGGGTGTAATTTGTGGTTGTCTACGTGTGTGTGTCCATGGCACCCGCGACACAGGGTTTCCCTAGTGCGGGGCTATGTTGAGTGTGTACGTTATAAAAATTGTGCGTTTGTGCATTAATTGTATGTACTAACCGCATAGCCCTTAAGCCGACTCTATAAGCCAATTCAGGGTCCGTAGGCAATAGTGTGAGGAACAGAAAGCGCGCGAAGGTATGCGCAGGCGCCGACCGCGGGTGGACTTGAGCGCCGAGACAGGAGGACGGCCCTCCTTCGAGGAGGGATTTGGCCACTTTCGCGCACACACCCGCCGCAGCTTCACCTTCTACGCGTTGTAATTGTGCTATTAGACGTTCTTCCTGTGAATGAAAATGATGATACAAGTGATGGAACGAACAAATGGTGGGCCTGATGGTAAGCGACACGCCTATCCGTAACAGTTCGTATTTTTGGTATAAGAAAGCCGCATGTGACCATACGTCACATGTGGTTTTCTTATAAGAGGGAGAAATATTTGTATGGCCTACATTTTACAGTTGGGGTGTAATTTGTGGGTTTCTCTAGTGCGGGGCTATGAGTGTGTGCGTTATTATTATTAATTAATATACAATACTGGAGCGTCATCGATAAGCAGTCCCCTCTATCAAGGTCCAAGTAAAAAAATACCATTGCACAATAAAAACTATTTTTGAATAGATTTTTTTCCATTTCCATTATCAAATTCACCACGTCAAGTGCTCCACGAAATATGTCATTTTGCTCCATACAAACATGCAAAAAAACTCTGCTACATTCAGTCTAGCCAAGAATAGAATAACATTACATATATAAGTCTATTTATTATACTAATTGCTAGTTTTCCATGTTAACATATTTTTTTCACGATGATCACATTGATTCAATTCATCTATTACATAGAAAATATGTCGAGTCATTCGAACATTTTCTAAGTATTGAATTATAATTTTGAAAGGTCCTAATTATTATTTTTCTTCACTTTATTCTGGACCTTACGATCCACGTGCTAGAGATTTTAATTAACGAGCGTCAAATCGTGACGTATACGTATTCCTCGTGAGACAAATAATAAATATAGGAATCCCCTATACTATCTACTATGCTGTGCAGGTTGTCAATAATGTCGATACCGATAAAATTGTTAAGTGCGAAATTAATAAATGTTTTTATTTAGCACTTTGAGCTGTATTCCATTTGCCTTTAAACTATGAAAGTATATAGTTAAAATAAACCTACATTGTTGAACGTTTTCCATTTTTTTTATCACGTACATTGCAGAGTTCATGAGAGCTAAAATATAAGGTAATGGACTGTCAAGAGCACGTTAAGCTGGACATTTTGAACCGTTGTCAACATGGGTCGCCACTATGTAATTGATGTGCAATAAAGAATATTTCATTCATCCATTCAATCACTCATTATGTTGAGCGACATCATACCTGCTTGCAGTATCGTTCCTGAGCATAAAGTCCGCTAGGCAACATCCTCTGCATACCAAGACCTAGTAGGGCCGCTTCTAACGCCAGAGCTAGGTATGTTTCGTCGGGGTTCTTACTGCCTGCTACTGGTACATGTTGATACCTATCGAAAAATAAGTTTGCACTAAAAGTACTATTTCGGTTTATAAGTTCCAGGACTTGACCCTGACTGGACAACCTTCCATACCCCAACATAACATATATTTCAAACTAAAATAATTCTGTCAGGATCACAGCAAGTGAAGATTTATCTATTTGTCATTATGGAGCTAAAAAAGAAATAGGATATTCAAACCAATGACAAGTTTTTATTGAATATCATGATGTTTTTTTACTATCATGATTCGCACCTCTCATGGAAGAATGGCATAAGTTATTTCAAAAATGTTTATTGCTCCATTAGATACAGCAAAAATATAACCCACATCCTTTCTAATTCTTGTAACTCTATTGACTAATATTGTCGATACAGTTACAAGAATTGCAGAGGATGTGGTTTATATTTTTCTGTATCCAATGGAGCAATTAACATTTCTGACGTAACTTCACTTATGCCATTCTTCTATGAGGGGTGCCATTTCATATATTGAAAAGCCGTTCAAACCCAATACAGAGATGTGTAATAAAGAGAAAGTCATTCGTAAAATCTGCTGATTTGGTCCTTAGGTCAGTCGGTTAATAGCGATGGCCCCGGAATGGCAACAGACACTGGTTCCAATTCAGTCAGATCTAACCTATAATATATATAATTATTTTTTGTGTTCGTTCTTTGTATTAATAATGAAAATAATGACAAGTTTTTAAATTATTCCCGTCGTGTAGATTCTCGAGAATGTTTCATTATTATATCAAACCCTCCCTTCTCATGACCTTAACAACTGTTTTGGTTTTTCAGGGTCGAATCTTGGATGATACAATAAAATAAAATAACGGCTTATTTGACATGCAAAATACATAAATAATTACAAACAATTATAGAAAGTAGAAAAAATATAATAATAAACTTAAAAGACGTCAAAAGGGTTTATGACTCAGCGTATGAAGATTGTGCTAATGGGTTATTCTCCCTCGCTGTTATTCTGCTATGGTTCGTCGTATATTGGAACACCGTAATCAAAATCTATTTTTAATAAACAGGATTATTAAATTTGTTAAAAATAATAACCTCACAAGACTGTATTACTAACATCATAAACAACTACTTTTGTGATGAATTTTTACTAAACACCATAAATTTAACAAAAATAAACTTTCAAGTTTTTATTGTAGTAATTTTAAATTTTTGTTGTACTGTCTAACACTTTTTAGATCCGTATTTGGTATTTAACACATGTGGTCTGTGGTATTTAGCAACGCCTCCCGAGGTGTCATTCATAAAAAAAATATGGTGGTGTGCGCTTTCTTTTGCTACCACACAGAGTTTATAGGGTTTTTTAATAGGGATATTAACATTTTTGTATTTCAATAAAACAGAATAATTGAGATATGGACCTGAAATTTATTCCAGGCGAAACATGTTACATTTAGAGTTTAGAGCGGTCTATTTCACTATTTTTATATTTTTTGTATGGAAAGAAAATCTGATGAAACAAGTCATGGAACAAAAATTGTTGTTTACGTTGTTAGTAATACATAATAGTCCTAAGAGGTTGTTAGTATACAAATAACTCTGTATTTTGGTACAAAAATCTAAAATTCATGTGATGACTCTTGCTCCTTATCTCCTTTCTAGAGCGTGACGGCACGCGTAAGCCTTCGGTGTCGCCGTGCGACTAAACATTTAAGTGAGTAAAATTTACTGATATTATTATTTTAGGCGTGATTCAATTAAATTAATTACCTAGGCGGTAAGCCTGTGTTAGGTTCTTCGTCGAGGTAGGTATGCAGTCGCGGCGAGGCTCGCGTGTCGTCAGGCGCCAAGCACGCGTCTGCCAAACACTCGTAGACACACCACACTGCCTCTAGCGTCCATCCCGTCCAACACCGGCTGTCTGTAGTATAAATTTGTATGTAGCATATTACGTATGTATTTTGAAAGAAGCTAAAGCGTTTGCGAGAAGGCTTCTTCTGTAAGCAGAGGATTGTGGTTATATTCTTAGCCACACCAAAACATGAGTGTAGTATAATTAGACAAGTATTCGCTTTTCGGCCTACACTAGTATAGGGTTGTCACATTCTTATTTGTACTTTAAGGTAGTAAACATTTGAAAATAATAATTTTAACTTTTTTATAAAGAAACCGACCTGAAACGTTTGTAGAATTACATCTATTTGCCAAATTTTATTGAAATCGGAGGTACCTCCTTTCAAACAAAAAAGAATAATCGAAATCGGTTCAGAAATGTCGGAGGAATCGCATTAAATATACACACAAAAACACATTCAAATTGAGAGTCTCCTTTTGTTGTAGACAGTTAAAATATAATAAAAGTCGAATAAAGTATTCATCACAGTATTCTCGTGTTATATTGAAATAATCTTTGTCAAATGCAGTGCTTACACATTGATATTTTTATACCAGTGTCGCGGATTGCTATCTCGATTATGGGAGTGTGATTGTGTAATAGAAATAAAACGCTGAACATTTCTAAACTTGAGGCACCCTTGTTCAAGCAACTATAAACACAACAATAAATACGTTTACTATTTGATGTCTTTTTTAAACACGGAGCGAACGCTCAATTCTATAATAAATGGCGCGAGTGACAACCCGCGCTATGTAACGCAAGTGCACCGCGAGATTATGCGTATGTGTGTGTTACACATACTACGCTGCGCTGCTACACCACTTGTCCTATCTTATTATACTACAACATGAATTTACAGTCGACATACAATTATGTAATAAATAGTGCTTTCACATGTATTAACGCTTGGCAGGTATCAAATAGAGTTATTGGGAAGGCGGGGTATAGCCTATAGCACTATAGTCCATGTTGCACGGATACGGTGATGTTTGAGATTTGAAGTTTCTAGAGATGTAGTGATGTAAAATCGAATGAAAAAAAAAATAGATTTAAATATGTTATCGAGATTCTATCTAGAGACTCTATCGATATTATCTTAGAGAGAATCGATTTAGAGACTACAGTTTAAGAACAAATAATAAATAAAATAAAAAGGCATTGACTTACAAATAAATGGACGACGGGTCTAATACAAAAACCACGAAAAAAATGTCCCAAGTCAACCTATTCGAAATTTAAATTGTTATGTCATCGCAGTATCGCGCTGTCCGTAGAACAAATGAAGACTAAAGCGGAGTGTCGCGCTCTGTATACGATTTTAGCGCCTTACAAGTGCGGACACTTTTTAGCGCGGACCCGACGTCCATATAATTGTAAGTCAATGTAAAAAGGATTCAATTATTATGTTATTAAGTTACTAAAAACTACACAACAATTTAAAAAACCAACAACAGCCAAACAAAACGTCAACAAAAAACCATAAAATCAACAGCAACTAAATGAAATTTGAACATTCACTCCAAAAAAATCGACCTTAAAAGTACGTGGAATTACATATAATTACCGAGTTTTATTGAAATCGGTTACCGGAAAGTGCGCAAACCCGGATTCATCCCCTAGTTCGCCACTATATGGGACTTGACACAGGAGATAATAAAAATCGGTTCTTACTACTCAAAGTATATTGAGAGAGAAAAACACCTTGAATTAAAGAATAGCAAAATCAACCATTAAAATAATTGTTCATTATACTAAAATTAAGGCGCTATTTATAAAAATGAATCTTCATGCGTGAACAGCCACCCTTAGAGGTGGATGATTTTCTTCAAAATTAAATGGGACCACTATGGAAGTACCCTCTTTCCAACAAAAAATAATCATAAAAATTGGTTCACAAATACCGGAGTTATCGCGTAACATACATACAAAAAAAAACATACAGTCGAATTCAGAGCCTCCTCCTTTTCACTCAAAGAACAAAACAAAAAGAAACGACCCTCATACAAGGTGTATGCACTCATATTGACGCGAGATACACAATAGCCGATTTGATTTATCGATTCTATGTGTAAATCTCTAATAATATTCCGATATAAAAATAATATTCCGTTTTACGCATCAGGTACTTGGGGTTTTTTATCTTTATCATTTCAGTTTCTGTCTACTTTATATACTGTAAAATTTTTACTTAATACTACTTACAATTGAAACAAATATTGTTTATTTGTGGTGTATTGTAACAAATTCACTATTTCTTCTTGCAACTTGATTGTGAGATTAATTAAAAATAATATGCATGTAACGTAAAATTTTAAATGTCACAGTGTCCCTGTGAAATGGACTATAATGTACAGTGGCATTCGAATTAATTACATAATCGAGAACAGGGCACAATTTATTCATTAGCTTCTATTACTTACCTCTACCAATACACCGTTGCGTATGCGACAGAGCACAAGTAGCCCCACCAGGCAAGCAGGTTCCCCCGTCCATATGCGCACAGACCAATGGCAATTTGACCCGTTCCCCGCAATTGCCTGAACAGCTTTCGGGACCCGAGCAAGAAGTCGTTGTAGTCACGCCACTGGATGACGCTTCACCCGCGCCTACTTCATGCCATCTGTTTTGGGCTACCTCCTGGGAAAGATTCATTGTAGATTTATAAAAATGCTTTGGTTTTTATTTTATGTTTGGTAATGTTCGGACTGTGTCACTCAGCTGTTTCGGTAACGCAAACGGCCTAATGGGATTGTCATAATCATAGAAATGTAAGTATATTTAATTATTAATACAAAGTTTTTTTTTTTATAATACCAAGTAACGGGACGAACAAGTCGTGCGCCTGATGGTAAGCGACACGCCTGTCCATGACAGTTGCAATCCCAGCTTTAAATAACAAAGATCTGAGGGGCACTGCCACAGAGCCCGTCACCCTGAGACTTAAGTTGACAAGTACCATCCCACCCTTACCCTTCAAAACCGGAACGTAATAATGTTCATATTACTGCTTGGCGGCAGAAATAGGCAAGGTGGCAGTACTTCCCGGCACGAACTCTTACAAGGAAATCAAACTGCTAAAACAATAAGATCGAACACTTACAAATTCATTCGTTTCGTCTGGATTCGAACCAACGTCTTCTAACAACCGTGCCAGATGCTATGCCAACTAAGCCACAGACGAACCAGCAGACCCTTGAATTTTCTATGTGTTTGTTGCAGATCTCAGAGAGATCTCAGAAAAATGTCGTTAAAAAATCAAAATAAATTTTTTATCGCCATTTTTGCCGTAATTTCACAAAAAATTATTGAATATCGTGGTGATAAAATATCCTGACATATAAACTTAAGTCTAAATAAATTTATTTAGATTTTTGTCGTCATAAATAATACAATGGTACTCATAATAGTCAAGACATGAAAAACGGTCTTTACAAATGTCGTTTAAAAATGGCGCCTCGAAAGTGGTACTCTTGGATTTATTTTTGCTTGGACTTAAATTCGACATTTAAAAAAGAATGTCTCTGTACCATGTACAGTGGTCACCCAGTAGGCAGCTAGAAAGAAGTACACGACAGAATATTTAGAATGTCAATAAAATACCTGTCGATGCCTCATAGCCCTGGCGGCGCTGACGGCTAACCGTAATGCAGCAGGGCCCCTGCCGTGCGCTCGAAGAGCTTCTATCCTTGCTCCCACCACGGGAAGGTGTTCTATGGAATAAACAAATAAACATAAATATATTTTTATTTTTATTTTTTATTTTTGTTGTGTCAAGAATTTACTTATATCAAGACAGGGTCAAAAACACGTCAAGCTTGACACTTGAGACTTAAAACTCTATGTTGCTTATGATAAGTACGGTGCAAAGTGTCCAGCGTCCAATAGTGACAGATTTATTTAAACGTAGTGCTTAAATTCTCTTTGGATTTATTCTTTATTATTATACATTGCATTTATGATACGTTGTATTTATGATAGAAAATTATTTACTGTTAGCACCACATACATAGAAAGATTACAGGACAAAAACGAAACAGCACGGTAATAATTAGCTGTCTTATCGCTTACAGCGATTTCTTCCAGACAACCTTAGGATGGAGAGAGATTACACATGAATAAAAGCGGGGTTGCTAGATATAAATAATTACACAGACATAGAAATGATTAAACAACACATTATACTTATAAATATATATATACATACATCATCACAGTCATATACATAATATAATAACATGCAATTAATTATATTCTTACATACACATACATATATTCTTACAGATTTACAATATATGTTACCTTCCTACCTTCTTTTAAGGAGAAGCAGCCTAGCCTATGATTGTCTTTATTAATATTATATATTATTGTAAAGAGGGTTATTTATATAGGTTATTAAAATACTCACAACCTAGCAAGATTCTATTGCTAGCATCATAAACAACAACCTTTGTTCCATGACTTTTTACTAAACCTAAATGAATTTACCAAAAATAAACTTTTAAGTTTTTATTGTACTATCTGACACTTTTTAGATCTGTTTATGGTAGTAATTTCAAACGTGGAAGCGTCTTACGCGTCGACTCCCACCCTGATCCTGTACAGAGTTTTTAACGTTTAGAGCGATCTATATTAATATATTTATTTTTGTATGAAAGAAAAATCTGATGAATTATTAAAAGTAATGGAACAAAAGTTGTTGTCTCTGATGTTGGTAAATATAGTCCTGTAAGGTTGTTAGTATTTTAAAAATAACTTACTTACTATTTATGAACTTATTATCAGTAAAGAGAAATAACGAATAACTTACCATGCCACAAAGGTTGTCCTAGTTCATTGAACTTAGGGTAAGGTAATAGTATTTTGCTGGATGACCACATGTCAGGCTTATCACAAGCTTCTGGGTCGCAGTGCTCGTCGCTACCGAGGATGTTCTTCAAATGCTCGTTCTCCCACGATATGTCCACTGTGTCTAAAGCTCTGTAAATATTATTAACATTAGTTAGGTGACTTACTGTTGGGAAATTGTTCCGGAAAAAATCCCGAAATATTCGAAAAATTTGGAAAAATGTAATAAAAAAATATATAAATTTCGAAGGCTCATATTATGTTCTACGTTTAGAAATATATTTGGACGTTTTTATTTAGCGTGAATTATAAAATAAACTTGTATAGCTAAAAGCCACTTAGAGAAAAATGAGATTTAAAATAATTTCACAACTGTGAAAAAACCTTCATAATGGCTCCATCCACGGAAGAAAGAAAATAAATTTATGTGGTCTGTGGCTCTATCGTTTTGGTTCAGTAACTTGAACTTTTGGTATCAACGTCAAATGTGGAAAATTCATGAAAAATATCGGGAAAAATATGATTTTTTGAAAATGGAAATTTTTCCATGAGTCAACACAAGGTGTACTTAACATTTTGTTTTAGCCTGTTACATATGCTTTTTTGTATTATACTATCAACCAGTCGTTACTTTTACGAAATAACAGCTGAGACGAACAATTATTGCTAATGACTAAATTACATTGTAAAATGAATATATATAACTGAATAAACATTGGACAACATCACATCTCTTGCTCTGACCCAGAAGTAAGTAACTAAACCACTTGTGGAAATCGAAAACAGCGACAGTATAAACACCAAGACCCGAGACAATATAGAGAAAAGTAGAAGAAGTTTTCTATATTGACCCGGCCGGGGATCGAACCCGGGAACTCAGAGATGCACACATGAACACCATGGAAACTGGTGTGCAAGTGACTCGACCACGGACGTCATCAATAGAAAACGAACAAACACAAGAAAAAATACTTTGATCCGATTCGACCCGAACCATGTGGTCTGTTCCCGTTCACCATCCAAAACAAATAACTGTCAAATAAGTAATATCTTTTAATTTGGTGTAGTATTACTTATTTGACGGTAATTGTTCCGGACGGATGTAGGAGGACGGGAGTATCAACATGGCTACCGCTCTTACCAACTGAGGTACGGATCGAGCCAGCAGATTTCATGAATTTCTCTATGTGCTCGTTGCAGATCTTCGTATTAGTAAAAATAAATATTGCAATAGTAGAATAAGTTTATAAAACAAACATCACCCTAATAGGGCGTGATCTACTATCGGCTGGCACCCCGAGAAACGACTAAAATCGATGCATAAAGATCTGATTTAAGAAATAGACCCCTCCTACGTAAAGTGTCTTATGTCGAAATTGCCAAGTTTACAAGGAAGCCTTTTAAAGCTCTGAATTCACTGAAATAAGCAAAACACGTCACTTTAGCATTTCTCAGTTTTATTCGACAAAGCTCGTTACTCACATAGAGTATTATAAAATCCTAGAGATGTGAGTAACGAGCTTTGCCGAATAAAACGGAGAACTTTAAAACGCTCCCCTGTAAACTTGGCAATTTCGACATACGATACTTTACGTAGGAGGGGTCTAAATTACTGTACATGTCTCCGGATACTGAGTTTCAGCTTTCAATGTGTTTGAAAGAAATTACATACGAGTTACGAGGACTGCCTATTTTTAACTGACTGTAAAAGAAGGATGAGGTTCTCAATTCGACTATTCGAGTTTTTTTTTCTGTATGTATGTTACACGATTACTCTGACATTTGTGAACCGATTTCGACGATTTATTTTTTTGTTAGAAAAGGGGTACCTCAGTACATTAGATTTCAGATTCAGATTTCAAAGTTACCGAAAAGTGGGTGAAATCCAATAATCCGTATTTGACACCCAGAGGAGTAATATTTTATTCAAATTTAAATGTATATTACATTTACATGTAAATATTATATATTTAAATTTGTGTAACGACTCTCCGTGGCCGAACGGTTACCATGCCGGACTGCCACGCAGTGGTCCCAGGTACGATTCTCGAGCCGGGATAAATATTTGCGTGGCCTACATTTATTTCTCTCGTGAGTTGGGGTGTAATTAGTGGTTGTCTATGTGTGTGTCCATGGCACAGGTTTCCCTAGTGCGGGGCTATGTTGAGCGTGTGCGTTGTTATTATTATTATTTCCACAAACTTTTGAACATGTTATGTAATAAAAAAGTTATAGATTATTATTTGTATTGTATCGTTTTACATTGATTCAAGAGAAAACTGAGAATTACACTTACTTGTGAAAAACGGTCCTTGGTGTTAATTGTGGTGCAGACCTTTGGTTGTGTAGTCTTAATCTCTTGCTGGCTCTTCGATACTCTCGTTCATAACTGGATTAACGAATATACACTTTCATTTCCAGAGTATTTTTAATTAGTTCAAAGGATGAATGTAATAGTAGAGCTCCTTGTGAATGATTTATCCTGGGCAGTAGTGCCACCATACCCATTTCTGCCGCCAAACAGCTGGTGAAATTACAGGTACATGGAACTTGTCAACTTATGTCTCAGGTTGGCACAGTGGCAGTGCCCCAAATCTTTGCGATTTAAAGCTCGAGTGGTACTGCAACTTTTATAGGCAGACATGTCATTTATGAGGCGCACGACTTATTCGTTTCTTTACTTGATGTAATAAAAATTAAAAAAAGGCAAATTACATATGTCACTGTTAATAAGGAAACTTACTTGTTTGGTCTAGATTCCTCGTCTGAGCTTTCCGATTGGGAATGCATTTCTCTCCTTTGTCGCTCTCTATGTCTTTCTCTGTAACAAGAAGCATTATTTAATATGATTACTTGTACAGAATCAAGAGCACGTCTAGAATTAAATTCAAGTCTATACCACTTGCGATAAGAATTATTCCAAGTCCCACAGTCTTAAGCCGAAATTATGCACTTGATTACCAGGCAAAAAACCAAAAACAAAGATCAGGGGGTCTTCTCTCATTCTCCATCCGACATCCGTCCCAAAACAATTACTGTCAAATAAGTAATACTCGATTACTCAAAAGACAATGTCAAGTATGAAGCTTCATTCGCATCATGCGTCTTTTAGTCGAGTATTACTTATTTGACAGTAGTTGTTTCGGGACGGATGTCGGATGAAGAATGAGAGAAGATCCCCAGAAGCTAGTAAACACAAAAAAGTATAATCGCTTTTTTTTTTATTCAAATGTCAGTGTGTATATGACCTCCATCTCACCTGATGGAAAGTGACGATGACGTCGACGATGGAGCTTGCATTTTTTTTAATACATAATAGACACACGCTTGGCCACAATTTCACCTGATGTTAAGCGACGATGTGACCGACGATGGGACGCGTTTGCCTAAAAAATGCCTATTCACTCTAGCCTTGAATAGCCCCAAATTGTACTTTTCGGGAAATACAGTATAGCATTCCATTCCTTTGCCGTACGCATCAGAAAGGAGGAAGCAAATCGCTTAGTGCGTTAGTAGGTGGAATATCAACGACATAAGAATGGAGTGCTCCGTGGAATATCAACGACACATTCTTATGTCGGAGTGCTGAGTGCTCCGGACCTTCTAGTCCACTGAAGGAGGAACGGTGAGGGTGGAACTAAATTGAAAAGTTCACTTCCCGAAATGTATCCGATAAAAAACCTATATGCAGGCTACTTTTTCGCGATAGTCGAGATTTTGTAGCTTCTACTTCACAAGAGAATTATTGTTAATAAGTCTCTTTGCTTTTCGCTCCACCGAGTCCAAGACAGCTAACTGGTAATGGGCAGAGCCGTCCCAAAGGCGGCAGCAGTACTCCATACAGGATCGAACTTGTGTTTTATACAGATTTAAAAGCTGTTCAGGTGTGAAGTACCGCCTGACATTGTAAAGTATGCCTAGTTGTCTGGTAGTAGTTTTTGACAAGCACTCGATGTATCGCACATACTTAAATAATGCCTATTCACTCTCGCCTTGGAAAGGTCCAAGTTATAACGTTCAGGGAACAAGTCTGCAGCCTTCAAATAACCGTCTGCGCTTATGAAAGAGTATATTTTAGAGTACATATTTTATTACTAATCGATATCATGTTACCAAACCATACCTATCTCTCTCCCTTTCTCGTAGTCTTTCTCTGTCCCGCTCTTCCCTATCTCTATGCCGCTCTCTGTCCCGATCTCTGTGGTCTCTGTCACGATCTCGCTCGTTTCTTTCTCTCTCTCTTGCGTACTGTAACAAATGTTATTGTAATTTTATTTTATTTTACTCTTGGTTGTAAATATTTAACATTTGTGTGTTAAGTATTTGAAACCATTTACCTCCTCTGAGGCTCTGCCTAGCTTAAAGCTGATTGGCTAACCTTTTCGGCTAATATTGTGTACTTTAGTTTTTAATCTATTAGATATCTTCTATTTTTTGTTATTAAACAGATCTTGTGTTAGTTATTTTTTTCTAATATTATTTGTGAATAGCGTTACGAATAAAGGTTTCTTTCTTTCTTCCATTGTTATTATTATTTTGACCAACTATTCTTACATTTGGACACAAGATATACTATAAATTACTCATTTGTTTATGGTGTAAATACGCGAATGATATAAGATTATTTTATTTGATGGTTAGTCTATGACATTTTTAAAAGAATTTCAACATTATTGACATTGGTCAAAACCATGGACCAATAACAAAATACAACTAAAAGATCGTAACTCTGAAATAGGTCAAAATCCCGTCATAAATCAAGATGGCGCTGATCGATAGCCTGAAAGTAGTTTTATTCCGAAAATGGCCTTGGATATCAATTAATTCCTGTTTAATATGAAATATAAACGGTCAGTTTTTTCCTTGTTATATTATTCAAATATTAATCAAGAGCCAAAACTATTTTATGAACTTTGACAAATACGCGTATCAACAGATGGCATTGTATGGTGGTTACAAACTAAAAACTAACGCTTGCTAATATGGGTAGATGGCGCTAATGCTAAACAAGACAAAACAACAGTATTTTTAATAATCTATTTTTTTTATAATATCCAGTGACGGGACGAACAAGTTGTGCTTATGGTAAAGTACACGCCTGTCCATAACAGTTGTACTGCCACTCAAAGCTTTAAATCGCAAAGATCCGAGGGGCATTGCCACTGCGCCCGTCACCCTAAGGCTCATTCACACTGGCGCAGAGTCGAACCGTCGCGACGCGTCATGTTTTTCGCCTATAGCATATTCATCTTTATTTTCCCATTATTAAGGTACAAATTTGTGTTATGCAAACATGGAGTCGCGCGTTACTTGAGCGCAGTGAAGCGTCAGGCGCCGACCACACTGTGATCCGGGAGTACTAATGCGCGTCGATGCGCGTCGCCAGGCTTCGTAGTTGAAAAACAGGACGTGACGCGACGCATGCGACTCTGCTCCAGTGTCAGTTGAGCCTAAGACGTAAGTTGACAAGTCCCATGTGCCTGTAATTTCATCAGCACCCTTACCCTTCAAAACCGGTTTCGTAATAGAAGGAGAAAGTAGAGTTGACTAAATTTACAGTTCCATGAGTGCAAGAGGGAGTTATGAGTCGGCTAACAAAACAAACCGAGTGTCGTCGGTTGCATGGTGCTATTTCAATATTTTTAGAGTAGTGGGAAAGATATAACGTAGCACAAATAAAGCAACTTCTCGCTTTAGCGTAGTTTATAGAGCTACGTATGTATGGTAAGTTTTTTAATACTTTTTTAATTAAGTACAAACACAGTAATTCTGACACTACTGCTTGTCGGCTGAAATAGGTAAGGTGGGAGTACTTCCCAGGACGAACACTTTCACAAGGAGCCCTACTGTACTGTACAAAATCTGTGCTATAAGCGTCATCTAGTTGATTTGTTTGTTATCACTAGAAATTAGTAGCTTTGACTAATTGCAGCTCGTCAATGTAAAACGAATTAGTTACAAAAATAGCTATTAGGTACTTGTCGCGACATGTGTACCAACGGTACTAAATACCCGACTACGCTATCTTTTATCACGATTAGAAGTCCTCTCCAGTTAATGGTGCATGGTTAAAACTAAAGTTTTATAAACTTAAAATTCTTTGTTGTAAATTGTATCTGCTTAAAAACTAACTTTGCTTCGAGCATGATTGTACTAGGCTTACATAAACTAAAGGCAAATTAGCACCCCAGTACTTACCAAAGGAAAAGAGCGGTAATCAGGATCCTCTGTAGGACACACTTCAACAGCTGACCATTTTTCCAGCAAATGTTTCCACTGAATTCTATGATGCATATTGCTTCCTGGGTCTAAGACTATGCTGACCCATAGTGCCCCTAACTGTTCCCATAGTTGCCTGCATTTTTCCGTCATCGGTGTGTTCTGGTTCCGCCATAGAAGTAAACGCGGGTCTGACAGAAATTGTTCTGTCATTAACATTAACATCCTAGGGCCGTTGGAGTCTTGGGCTCGGAGCATTTCGCGCACCTGGAAAGGAAATAACACTAATTATATCGCACTTTGAAACCAAAACTGTCACTAAACGAAAAGGTCAACTTTCGGGAAATGGTGTTTAATATTTATGAAAATAATTCCTTCAATCTGACTGGACTCGGGCCAGTGTATGTTGCCATGCCGGGGTCTTCGTTCTTAACCAACTGAGCTACAGACCGATCGATGTATCAATAATAAACTACTGGTATTTTCACAAAAAAAAAATTAATATGAAAACATCACGATATTCAATATTTATTGAATATCGTGATCAGGCGTTACTTCCTTTTAATTAGTTAATGTTAATAAATATTTATTGTATTATATATTAAATTTGGAAGTAAATTAATTTGCTATCTACTCCGCGAACCCAGTAAAAGTTAAATCGTGTATCGCTGCGCGAGTGTTTCCACAGCATAAAAATTAATAAAATAAATAACACAATAATACGGGCCTTCACTGGGTTCGCGGAGTAGCAAATTAATTTACTTCCATTTTAATTATCATAACATTCACAATACATAAATATTATATACTATATTATGAAAATAAGTTTAAATTTGAATAGCGAGATTTTAGTGTAGTGACTAATTTATTTCAAATGTGCGATATGCACAATATAATTTTAATAATTGTATTCTTGTGACTTTGTGACCTTTTTAAATAAAGGAAACTTGTTCATACTGAAGATAGAACGGATGGTAAAGTTTGTTTTTACCCTTGGTTCACTTTGCATTTTTGTGCAGTTTAGTTTTATTATTAGAGTTGACATCGCATTTGTCCACAATTCTACGAGTTGAAAGTGAAGTTTAGTTGTAGATTTCCAGGATGTTGTGGATTTCATGGAAAATACAGGATATTTCATCTCCCTTAATGGGCGTGATAGATAAATTAACTTGCAAATAAAGCTTTAACCATAGTTAAGTAGTATAATAAGACAAATATGGTAACTCCATATAAACATAGCAGTGCGGCTTTTATGTGTGATCGCCCGTCACGCGCCGTGTATGTACGCACACATTCGCATAATCTCGCGGTGCACTCGTGTTTCATAGCGCGGGTCGTCTCATGCGCTATTTATTATAGAATTGAATCGTCCGCCCGGTGTTTAAAAAATGACATCAAATAGTGGACGTGTTTATCGTTGTTTGAAAAAGAGTTCCTCAAATTGAGAATTGTTCAGCATTTCATTCCTATTTCATAATCATATTGCCGTAATCAAGATACCAATCCATGACACTGGTATAAAAATATCAATACGGAAGTACCTTCTGCATTTACCAAGGTTATTTCAATACAGCACGAGAATACTGTTATGAACATCTTAATTTTTTCGAATTATGTCTACAACCTGCACGTGCAAGTGAATAATAATGTAACAACCCTACGTTCCGTGCGTAGTGTAGGCATTTACGCGTCGAACTGGCGAAAGTTGCTTTACTTGCTCTTACTCTACTATATTAAGTCATAGTTTCACAAAGTGGCACCCATCAGTGGGCGCTGAAGAGTCTTAAAAGGGCGGTGGGGACCTCGAAGCATTTGGAGGCTTTGATGCTCTCCAGGGGGTGCTACCACATTTGAGAAAAAAAACCTGAATATACTGAATATACTATTTTATTTCCTTGTGATTTTTTTGTGTTGTTAATATAAAAAATACGTGTTTTCAATGATTTTTTTAAGGTGGTGGGCATTGAAATTTTTTTACCTTGCATAAGTGGGCGGTGAGCTAAAAAGTTTGAGAACCTATGCTTTAACTTAAAAGTACCTGACTACATATTTCTTTCGTTGTATGCACAAGCCTTAATTAGTTCCGAGATTTATAGCTCCATAATAAGCACATATAAATATGTAACAGACAACACTGACCTTAGAAAATAATGAATTCAGTTGTTTATTTGCATTGTAGTAGGTGCCTTGTAATAAATAGGCTCGCACTTGTTCGCAGACCTGTAAATAAGTAAAATATAATTAAGTACGGCGAAAACAAGTCTTCAGATTGGATACTAAAAACATTTATCTATAATTATTAAAATAAGCATAACTTAGAATAAGGAGGAGGGGATGAGGGAGGTCGAGGGAGACTCGTTAAGTAGTGTCCCAAGGTGACGCTGGTGGGTTCGCGGTAGTATGCAATTGCGTTTCCGCGTTCCTACCGGAAAGTGGCGGGGCAAAACAGCGTCAGGTTTTAACTGGTACGAGTCCGACATAAACCTCGTCTCCCCGAGCGGAAGGTATCCATGTGAATTAACAAAAAAAAGCTTGTGACGTCACATTGACATCGTTACAGGGTAATTCAATACAAAATATTTGCTGATACCACGTATAGTTAAGACTTATAGATAAGAGTATTATATCGGCGTATTAAGACTGCGTCAAAAATGATAAGTCAGTATAGACGTGATTTGAATTCTAATCTGTAGAAATAGATTTGCGATTACGGCAAGTCAGCGAATGAGCAAGAAGATGTGGAGGTAGACACGCTATCTAGATAATATTTATGGCAAATGGAGACGGAATAAGAGGAAGAGGGGAATGAATTAACGGTACTTTTTTCTTTTTATTAAGAAATAAGTGCGTATTTCACTTCCATCTCACCTGATGGAAAGTGCACACCTAAAT